CTGCATTAGGGTGACGGTTGTGGAAATTATGGCGCGGTAGGCAATTGCCACTTATGCTGGTGACCAGGGACCAGCACTTAACACCTACACATAAAAACATAAGCTTTAAATTTATTTACAAGCCAACGAAATTAATTGCGAAATAATAATAATAATAATAAAAAGGTCAAGAAAAATAACCCAACCAAAAATAGGGTTATAAACAAATTTGAGCCATTTGGTTTCACGATATTTTTGAGAGCTAATTTTCTCATTTCTCTTTAGTTCACTTACACTTCTTTTGTTGAAAAATTGTCCATGAATAAAACTTTTAAACTTAAATGTTCTTAAGTTGAGGTGATGATATCATTGTGTTGGATGGGAAGTCCATCATTGAAGTTTTTAAGTTGTAACTTTTTTGAGAAATTATGTAATAGTATTGGAGTACGGTTATGTGGTATAATATGTACACGTGTTATAATATGGGTAGACAAAATGGTTGATATTCCCTTTAGGCTGTGTTTGATAGATGGAAAATGAGGCTTGGGGATGGAAAATCATTTGTTTTCTCATGTTTGGTAAGTCCAGACATGAGAAATGGTTGCCTTCTACATGAGAAATAGGGGGGAAATGTAACCCTTCTCCTCCTTAGTTTTATTTTCTCTTTCCGTGTGAAACTTTGGAAAAATTGGTCAGTATTAAATGCACATTTTTCATGAACATTTTGTCCCCATTAGCAATTTAGCATTACAATATAACATTAAATGCATTCTTTTTTTATTTGATTTCATATGGATATAATTGGAAAATTAAACCAACTTTGTTTTACATTTCTAAGCAAACCAAACATGAAAATGTAATAAAGTGATATATTTTGGTTACTTTCCTAACATTACCTTAATTTCCCATTCCTTAAGAAAAGACATGGAAATCATTTTCAATCAAACTTTTTTCGCAAATCAAGTTATAATATAAACACGCGAACAAGTTAAACAACGTAACCACATCTCGTGAGTCGTGACTAATTAGGCTTTGTTGATTTTGCCATAAAAGAAAGTAGGTTTCGGGAGTTCATTAACTACTACACCTCCGTTGCTGATAGTAAGGTCAATATCGTGGCCGTCAATTTTATTTTGAGGAAATGTGCGTGAAATTTTCTTCCGTTTTAAAAGTGGTTGAAGAAATGTTTCATCGTTATCAGTTCAGTGGTGCCCATCCATGTGCTGCTACATTTTTGCAACACTTTTTTGTTATAGTAAATACTATTTTAAAAAAAAGAGTGTAAATGGACAAAAAATGAGTGAGAAAATCATCACCTTTTTTAGCAATAGTATAAACTATAGGGATGGGTGTCTTCACACACACTATCATGATATTATGCGGATTCGAACTTAAAATCATTAGTCTCAAATCAAGGCCTTTTTCTATTGCGTTTGGTCTAGTAAAGAGTTATTTTGAACCTAACAAAATCAAATTGCAACTAATTTTATTCGTTGTATTAAGTATTTTGTTTGGCCTCTTTCGGGAATTATCTATATTGAAATTAAATTCTTTATATTATTATTTTCTGACACTTGCATTTCTTTTTCCTTTTTATCATTATTTACATTTTCACATCGCATATTGAAATCTATAAACCCTCCAAATTTGACGTCATAAAATCTCTTTATCTTCAATGATTTAATCAAAACAACAACAACAACAAAAACAAGAAAGACGTGTTACTTATTTGATACACGATGTGTTGTCATGGCCTCTAACCATGGTGTTAGGTGTGTGACATCGCCAAGTAGCACTGGTCCTTTTTGAATTTAAATTGTCCATGAATAAGACTTTTAAACTTAAATGTTCTTAAGTTGAGGTGATGATGTCATTGTGTTGGATGGGTAGTCCATCATTGAAGTTTTAAAGTTTGTAACTTTTTTGAGAAATTATATTGGAATACAGTTACGTGGTATAATATGTACACATGTTATAATATGGGTAGACAAAATAGTTGATATTCCCTTTAGGCTATGTTTGGTATATGGAAAATGAGGCTTGTGGATAGAAAATCATTTGTTTTCTCATGTTTGGTAAGTCCGGACATGGGAAATGGTTGTCTTGCACATGATAAATAGGGGGAAAATGTAACCCTTCTCCTCCATAGTTTTATTTTCCCTTTTCGTGTGAAACTTTGGAAAAATAGGTCTGCATTAAATGCACATTTTTCATGACCATTTTGTCCTCATTAGCAATTTAGCATTACAATATGACATTAAATGCATTTTTTTTATAATTTGATTTCATATGGATATAATTGGAAAATTAAACCAACTTTGTTTTACATTTATAAGCAACAGTCCCGATCTCTTGGACCACAGGGGTCCAAGAGATTTGTGGTCACTCGCCGTTGGATGTAAATTCAACGGTTCACTCACTCTTGCACTCCTTTCAAGAAACTTTTAGCTTGTGGATAGAAAATCATTTGTTTTCTCATGTCTGGTAAGTCCAGACATGGGAAATGGTTGTCTTGCACATGATAAATAAGGGGAAAATGTAACCATTCTCCTCCATAGTTTTATTTTCCCTTTTCGTGTGAAACTTTGGAGAAATGGGTCTGTATTAAATGCACATTTTTCATGACCATTTTGTCCTCATTAGCAATTTAGCATTACAATATGACATTAAATGCATTTTTTTTTATAATTTGATTTCATATGGATATAATTGAAAAATTAAACCAACTTTGTTTTACATTTATAAGCAACAGTCCCGATCTCTTGGACTCAGGGGTCCAAGAGATTTGTGGTCACTCACCGTTGGATGTAAATTCAACGGTTCACTCACTCTTGCACTCATTTCAAGAAACTTTTTTGAACCATTGGATTAATATGGAAATGTAATAAAGTGATATATTTTGGTTACTTTCCTAACATTACCTTCATTTCCCATTCCTTAAGAAAATACATGGAAAATCATTTTCAATCAAACTTTTTTCGCGAATCAAGTTATAATATAAACACGCGAATAAGTTAAACAACGTAACCACATCTCGCGACTAATTAGGCTTTGTTGATTTTGCCATAAAAAAAAGTAGGTTTCGGGAGTTCATTAACTACTAAACCTCCGTTGTTGGTAGAAAGGTCAAGACCGTGGCCGTCAATTTCATTTCGAGGAAATGTGCGTGAAATTTTCTTCCGTTTTAAAAGTAGTGGGAGAAATGTTTCATCGTTATCAGTTTAATGGTGCCCATCCATGTGCCGCTACATTTTTGCAACACAATTTTTTATATAAATGTTTGAAGATGTCCCAAAATCAAATTTCCTCTCATCTTTTAATAAGAATTAACCACATGTTTAAATGCTGACCAAATTTCATATGAATATTCCCTCAATGTTAGACCTCCAAAATTGAATTATATGCATATGGTTTTATATACACGTTTACCTAGTCTTGGACTTGAATTTCAATGACGCCAATCTGCTGTCGTTGCCCTTTTATGACGCAGTCTCTTGTTTAAATCAACATGTCTTTGTCATTTGATTATTTACGTGTCTGTCTATCTCCCAACTATATGTACATTGACTTTTGCGGTTCATAATTCTTTCATTTGTTATTGAGATTCAACATGAAACGTCCCATGTGATTTTTGGTCAATTGTCTTTAAGCATGACTTGTCTGTCTTCTCCAGTGAATTTCATAGAATCCTAAACTCCGTATTTATACATTTCACAATGCATTGCATCTAGCTATCAAAGTTCAATGTTGTTCTCTCTCTCTCTCTCTCTCTCTTGTTTGTTGATTATCTTTTTTTCTTTTTAGAGTTAATTTGTTTTCTTAAGATGCACTCTAAACGGTACCGTATGACCTAATTTTCCCCAATCTGTATCTTATCTAAGTTAAAAGCAATTCCTTGCTTTATTAAAACATGTTTCGTATAAAACTTTCTAAAATATATTGTCTAATATAACTCAAATATTTCAAATGAACTAAATAATCAAGCAACTTGAACAATAATTTAATTCTGATTACAAGTCCCCATCATCCCAAGAGTTTATTCTCTGATTACAAGTCTGATATCCTTTTTCTTGGTTATTACAAGACTTCTTTTGGTTATAGTCATAAGTTTATTTTTCTTATAGATAACTCTAAAAAGTTCTAGATACCTTAAAGTATGCAATTCTTTTTTATGCAAGTTTAGGGATGGGCATGTGAACTGAAAAACTGTTGAATCGAGCCATAGATAACTGAAAATAATCATGTTGACTAAAAAGTCAACTTAGGTTTAAGAATAAAATTGATCCAGTTCCTAGTAAATATTACCAAATAATGATGACTTTTGTCACTTTTTTTTTGTACTGAGTATCGATTTAAATTAGGGGTTTTTAAAAAAAAAAATATTGAATTGGGTTTCAGTTTAAATCAGTGAGAATGGAATCTCTCAGTTAAAATTGTAGTGTTTGTAGTGTAATTTAGGGTTTAGTTTTGTATGGTTGAGTTGTGTTAGGTGCATGATGCAATTGTTAGCCTAATTTAAGTTTCGATTGTGGTAGGTTCATGATTCAATTGTTAACCTAATCATCCAAGCATATCAGGGAAACGCCGAACTCTCTTTACAAGCATAGTTCAATTGTGTTATTTTCATTCTATTTATATGCATTTTTTCATTTTGTATTGTGTGTTTTTTTTGGGTGATTGCAGATACTTTACGGGGGGTTACGCAAACGACACGTGTCATTACTCTCATCTTCGTGTCGCAACTATATAAACTTTCCTAACTGCCTCGTCATCAACACTGTCGGCACCCAGCGACACGTGTCTGCATCGTGTCAATACAGGGATCGTGATGTTCTCTCCAGCGCCCACCTCAACTCTCTATTATTCCACGTGTCACGACTCCAGCACGACCTTTGAGTCTATTTGAAGTGCACCGTATTAAGCTGCTACTACAATGTGCTTAAAAAAAAAAAAAGGTTTTTGAGACAAATTATTTGGATTGAAAAAAAAAGGAAAGGAAAGAAAAAGGAAGTGAGCTGAAAATGCAGTCTGGGAAGAACGTAAAGGGGTCTGTGAAAGAAGCTACTGCTAACGTCGGAGCCTCTGCTAAGTCTGGCATGGACAAGACCAAAGCCACAGTGCAAGAAAAGGTTTTATTTAAATCATGTTTTTTGTGTTTCATTTTATGAATTTATTATTCATTCACCATTTGTTTTTGGTTTTTCCAACCAAAAAAAGGTGGAGAAGATGACAGCTCATGACCCGGTTGAAAAGGACATGGCAACCCGAAAGAGGGAGGAGAGAATGGTGGAGGCCGAGCTGAACAAGCGTGAGGTGATGGCGCACAACGCCGCTGCTAGGCACAAGGAGTCTATGGGTGGGCCCACGGGGTACACCGCGAGTGGCACTGGGACCCACACGTACTCCACAACCGGGACCACAGGGCAGCACACTGGGGCCCACCAGATGTTAGCGCTTCCTAGACATGGTACCGGGCAGCTCGCGGGCGAAATGACCGAGGGAATGGTGGAATCCCACCCTATCGGGATCAACACGGGTATGGGTCGGACCACAGCCCATAATACTCGTGTGGGTGGGAATGCACCGGAGTATGGAACTGGTGGGACCTTCAGTTGAAATGGAGCCTTTGATTTTGTATTATGGGCCATTATTTGTGGGCTCGGGTTAGGTCATCTTTTAAATCCGAACCCTTTTTGGTGGGTTAATATGTAATATGTGGGTGCTTTTTTCGGGCAAGTCTTTTTAAGGAATAGTGGTCGAAGAAGTTTGTTTTGATATTTTACAAGTTTTAATTGAATAAAATTGGTAGCATTGTGTAAAAGTTTATATATAAATCTGAATCAGAAATTTGGACCAAGTGCCTGCTAATTGAGAAGATGCTTTAGATATGTGAGATGAGAGAGATTGAGAGTATATCAGTGCCAAAAAGAATAACTGCTTGTGGTCCTAAAAAAATTAGTAATGATTTTTTTATAAAAATATCTGGGGGAGATATTCAACTTTAATCTTATTTAATATTAAGAAGAGAAGTATCTTTGCATACTGGATTTGGTTTATTTTTATTTTTATAATAATTATTTTTTTAAAATATGTTTTTAATAATTAAAGGATATTTTAGGAATAATGATGGTTGGAAAGATAGTATTGTGTTTTTTCAAATTTACATGGTGGATGGGAAAATAGGACAGGGGTAGAAATAACAACACTCTTTTATTATTGTCATTTTCTTTTTCTTACATTCTTTTATTATTGTTATTTTCTTTTTCTTACATTAATGAAAATTAATACGGTAATAATTAATTAATGCAACTTAATGCACATATTCAGTTCCAACCATACTTCCTATTCAGTTCCTAAAATAAGGAGATCTTTAGGAGCTCCTAAATCTAAGAAGAGAGAATAGACTATTAGTGACTCCCTATAATTTAATGTTGCCTTATTTAATGAATATTTTAAGGGTGATGATTTTCTCACTCTCTTTTTGTCCACTTACACTCACTTTTGTTTTTAAATATTTTTTACTATAACATATAAAGGAGGGTAACTTGTGTAAGTGGACAAAAGAGAGTGAAAACATACAATTTTCAATAAAAGGAATTTAAGTGGACAAAAATGAGTGAGAAAATGAGCTTCCTATTTTAAATCTTTAATTAATATTGCCATTAATTATATATATATATATATATATAGATGGATCATTTATGTTGAATTAAAAAAGAATTATAGAAATTATGACTCCCTAAACTAGAGAGTATGATTGAAGTTGAAATTTTATAAGAGCTCCTAAAATAGTTTTTGTGTATTTTTAGCTAAATTTTAATTAATCCCTAAACTAGAGTATGATTGAAGTTGAAATTTTATAAGAGCTCCTAAAATAGTTTTTGTGTATTTTTAGCTAAATTTTAATTAAAAATAGAGAGTATGATTGTAACTGCTCTTAAAAATTGGCTTTGCACTATTTTGAGAAAAAGTTAATTAAAAATATTAGATTGTAATTCTATACCTTTCTAAGATTACTAGTTGGTGACCCTATTAAACCTAAAGCTTACTAGTTGTTTAAACTCCAACATCAAAATTCTTACCAGTTAGATAAATTATTGACTTAACCCAAGATCCTTATCTCGTTCCTTATCTTATGCTAGGAAGTGACAATCTATTCAACGTGTTGTTGGTACCATGACTAACCGAGCAACTAGCGAAGCAAGACCAGCCATGTGCCGTACTTTGAGAGGTCGTCACCTTAGCCAAAGAATCCTTGCCATAAGTCACAACTAGGGGTAATGTCAAGAGTCCCATATTGGAAGACTACAAGAGGTGGAGACTCCCCTTCATCTATAAAAAAAGACTACTCTCCACTTAGAAAGGGTCTTGGGTTTTGATCCTTGGGCCTTGGACTCTTGGGCTTTATACCTTAGGCCTTGAGCTTTCTTCCCTTTATCTTTGGGTCTAATCCCCTTGTACAAATGTAAGCAAATATTATCATAATGAGAACATCCTTTTCCATGGACGTAGCCTGTCATTCGGGTGAACCACGTATACCTTGTCTTCTATATGCTTATTTACTTTACTTACGCTGAATTTCACTGACTGCCGAAGGCAATAACCTGCCAAAGGCACATACACATGCTGAAGTCCCACGTATTCACACATCATCCACCACTCCACATCTATCTAAGTTGAACTCCATTTTGGGCGTCAACATGTGTTTTATGGAATCTTCATGTAATCTTCAAGTTCGTTTTTGTTCATTTTTGTTTTTGTTTTTAGTAAGGAAAAACAAAACTACAAAACAAAGCCACGAGGACAACCTCCTCCAGACAAATCAAATTTGAGAATAGGGAGAACTGAATTTGGAACAATGTGAGACCAAAAGTGTGGAGATTTCAATTGGTGTCTCAAGATGTGATTGCATATGCAGTGAAATTGATCTCTCTAAAAATGTTCTTAAAATTCAAAAAAAGGAATGAGATGTTGGATGTTTAATATCATAGTCTATAAGCCTCCTAAGAAGGTTGTTTGTTCTTGCCCAAGAAACTGTTATTGGACATTGAACAAAGGATTTGTTCTCATTCTTATGGGTTGCTATTTGTTCTAACCATTAGGCTTCTAAAGGTCTCTTGGGAGGAAGTTTGTCTCCCACAAAGAGGTGGGTGGGTTTGGAAGCCTTAATGATACTTGGGTGAAAAGCCATTCAAGAGTCAATATATCAATTTGCTTTTGGTTTAGTGAGCACCAACTACCTCTATTTTCAACGTTGCAATTTGCTTTTGGTCTGATTTTGATGGGTCTATTTTCTAAGTGGAGAGTGGTCTTCTTTTATAGGTGAAGGGGAGTCTCCACCTCTTGTAGTCTTCCAATGTGGGACTCTTGACATTACCCGTAGTTGTGACTTATGGCAAGGCTTCTTTGGCTAAGGTGACGACCTCTCAAAGTACGGCATGTGGTTGGTCTTGCTTAGCTAGTTGCTCAGTTAGTCATGGTACCAACAATACATTGAATAGATTGTCACTTCCTAGCATAAGATAAGGAACAAGATAAGGATCTTGGGTTAAGCCAATAATTTATCTAACTGGTAAGAATTTTGATGTTGGAGTTGAAACAACTAGTAATCTTTAGGTTTGATAGGGTCACCAACTAGTAATCTTAGAAAGGTATAGAATTAAATCTAATATTTTTAATTAACTTTTTTCAAAAGAGTGCAAAGCCAACTTTTAAGAGCAGCTACAATCATGCTCTCTATTTTTTCAATTAAAATTTAGCTAAAAATACACAAAAACTATTTTAGGAGCTCTTATAAAATTTCAACTTCAATCATACTCTCTAATTTAGGGAGTCATAATTGCTATAATTCTTTTTTAATTCAACATAAATGATCCATCTCTATATAAAAAAAAAATGGCAATATTAATTAAAGATTTAAAATAGGAAGTTGATTTTGTCACTCCTATTTTGTCCACTTAAATTCCTTTTGTTGGAAATTGTATGTTTTCACTCCTTGTTTGTCCACTTACACTCCTTTGTATGTTATAGTAAAAAAATATTAAAAAAACAAAAGAGAGTGTAGGTGGACAAAAAGAAAGTGGGAAAATCATCACCCTTAAAATATTCATTGAATAAGGCAACATTAAATTATAGGGAGTCACTAGCCCTCTGTTTGGATGAGGGAAAATAACTCGGAATTTAGCTAAAAGTCGGGAATTTAAGAAAAGAAATTGACAATTCCTTTGTTTGGCAATTTAAATGCAGAATTTATTAAATGATGTGCGGAAAAAATTGTGGAAATTGGAGCATCAAATTCCCGAGTTTAATTTCCATCAAAATAGGCGTCATTTCACAATTTCCATAGTGCCATTTACAAAATTTGACATACATAAATCCAAACACTGAAATCTTCAATTGCCAGAAATTGAAATGATGGAAATCGAAGGAGGGTGGTAGTCTATTCTCTCTTCTCTGGATAGGTGCATTAATTAATTATTATTGTATTAATTTTCATTAATGTAAGAAAAAGAAAATGACAATAATAAAAAAGTGCTGCTATTTCTACCCCTGTTACAAGGCTTAAAATCCTACCCACGTTATGCAAGTGTCATCAAAATTACGAGAAATTATAGAATGGTACTGTATCACCACATCAGCTAGTAGTACTTCCATTCAAAATATACCATGTGTCATTTAAAAAAAATTATAGTGATTTTTTTTTACAGCTGGACTTTTGGCCTCTAGAATAATATTTAAAAAACAAAAAAACCAAAGACGCCGGAAACCAAGTCCCACGACAACCCAAATCTTCTTACCTTACAATACCAACCACCCAACCCAATTGCCCAAGGGTTTTGGTTGGCCACCTGGTTAATCTAAAACAAGAACCACATAAAGAAATCACTGGAAATAACAAAAACTGATTATTCCCTTTGTGGTTTCTGTACAAATGATTATCAACAAACCCAAAAAGAAATAACCAGCACACTACAGAAACCTGTCGAGTCCCTAAATGAGCTAGCTTTCTTAATCCATGGACTATTGGGTTGGGTGGAAGTGCGAGGATGGGGATTGGGTTGTGGTGGGTGGTGGTTTCCGGCAGCTTCTTTGGGTTCTTTCTTTTTTAAAATAAAAAAATCTTATTCGAAAGTTAAAAGGAAAGTAATAAATCCAGCTGTAAAAAAAATTATAATTTGTTTTAAAAATATGACACATGGCATATTTTGAATGGAAGTATCACCAACTGACGTGGTAGTACAGTATCATTCTATAATTTTCTCCTGCCATTGACCCACAATTTGAAAAAAAATCACTTTTTTTCTTGATTTACCAAACACCTTTTCATTCAGAATTTTAAAACAACAGTTTTCAATTCAAAATCCTACCCACGTTCTGCAAGTGTCATCAAAATTACCAACAGTTTTCAATTCAAAAGCTAATTGATAGTTGAAGGGGAGAGTGGAGAGTGGTCTTTTTTCTTTTTTTTTTGGTTCTTGGTGAGTTCTTATTCCCACTGCTGTGATTTTACAGGAAGAGCAAGAGGCCATATGGAGGACAAAAGAATTGGGGCCTCTTCTTCTTGGGAAAAAAGCCAAAACGTGAAGTTGGGAAGAATAACCCACCAAGAACCCAAA